GGCGGAAGAGGAGAGAGGAGAAAAACAAGGAGGACCGGATTGGAGTCACGTTCAGACCGGAGGACTCCATCATTCCTCCAGATGAGGTACGTGCGTCTCAAAAACTGTATTTATGTATTTTTTCTAAACTCTTGCTTTAATAAAGATGTGACCTGGACTGTTTCTCTGTTGCTCATGTGTGCAGCCTGCAGAAGAAGTGCCCGATCACAGCGACCAACACACCATTCCTTTAGGTGATTTCTTTAGTATTATTTATACGCCATTATAGTATTTATTCATATTTTGTATTTATTAATATAAATGTTTTTTATTTATTTTAGATTTTTTTCTTTTGGTAATTATGTGCCTTTGTAATTTTTATTAGGTTTTTTTTTAGTAATTTTATTACTTTAATTAAAAAATATTTTATTTCAGTCAATTGCCAGGACAACATTTATGTTTTCATTTGTTTATCTAATATTTATATTTTACTTTCAGTTCAACTATAATTTTGTGAAGAATATAAAAGAATAATTTTGTGTTTTTGTCCTTTTTGTAATTTTTTTAATTTTTGTTTTTAGTTTAATTTTTTTTATTAAATTTTTAATTTTAGTAATTGTGCTGTGCATTTTGTCTTTTTTATTTAAAAAATATTTTTTATTTAGTTTTAATTAATTAAAACTGTAATTAATACAGTTTTAGTAAATGTGTTTTTGTGTTTTTTTTTTTATTTAATTAATTCATTTTATTATAGTGTTAGTAATTTTATTATGTGTTTTTGTCATTTTTAAAAATAGTTTTTATTTAGTTTTAATTAATTTTATTACAATTTTACTTTTGGTAATTTTATGTGTTTTTGTCATTTGTAAAACATATTTTTAATTTAGTTTTAATTAATTTTTATTACAGTTTTAGTTTTTAGTAATTTAAGTCCTTCAATTTCAACTTTACCAAGACAACATTTTTCATTTTCGTTTAAGTTTTTATGATATAATACCTATATTAAATATTAAGACTTGTTGAGATGAAGTCAGTTCTGCTGTAAAGTTCATCGGTCAGTAAATGTGTGTTTGCGCTGCAGGCGTTGAGTGTGAGTCGAGTGGCCTGGCGTTGTTGGATCAGGCGTACGTCACCTCGGCTGAGCTTCATGCGTTCGCCTCCACACAGAAGAGACCGCCTGAGATCCAGGACGCCTGTACAAACACCGACACCGGTATGCGCTCTGATCGCTCATCCGCATATCGCACACTTTAAAGGGGGCATCGGACGCCCATTTTCCACAAGCTGATTTGATGGTTTAGGGTCTTCATGTAAAGTTTGTAACATACTTTAGTTAAAAACCCTTTTACCCCCTGACAGTCCATCAGTGGTCTTAGGCATTATGACATCATACTGCTCAGAAAATCCAAACGGCCTGTTTATTGAGAGTGTTTTGGCTTTTTGAGGATTTAAAAAAAGGAGTGAATGGATTTTTTTTTTTTTTTTCATTTTATGGTGGTTGTGTCCACACACTGCAAAGACACATTTATATGCAAACACAATATAAAAGTGAATTTTGCATCCGATGACCCCTTTAACTTCGCTAATGTAAGTTCTGCTTTGGTTTCCTCCAGAACTGCTTCGCTCCATCACAGATCAAGATGTTTCTGACCAGCCTCAGTCTCCTCCCAGCATGCCGTCTGCTCGTAAGTTCATGACAGGAATGTGATCCTCAGCTCTTTGTTGAATCCACACAGGGTCCAAAATGAGCATTTGAGACGCAGCAGATTCAAATCAAATTTGCCTTTTTTTATGAAATTATAAATTGCAAAATGATGCTTGGTTTACATTTTTGATCCATGGGATTTTTGATTTTTTTTTTTTTTTTTTTTTACTTGAGCACCATAAGCAAATCTAGAGGGAAAAAAACAATAAAGTTGGCCTACTGAAGGAAAAAAAAAAAATCAGTGACAAAAAAACTTGGAAAATATTAGTATTTATTAGTTTCTTAGAGAAAAAAAAAATCATTACTATTATACAGTGTATGTACTTTTTGTCTGGGAAATTATGCATGGCAAAAATAGCAAAAACAATTATATCCAGAACATCATTGGAATTATATTCATGAACATCATTGGAAGTTTAAAAAAGAATCAGTGGCAGAACATTGTGAAAATAATCCCAAAAATGATTGTGATTTAAATAAATTTGAAACTGCACAATTATCTCAATGATCAGGCAATCAATCCTTAATTGCAACAGGCCTACTGTATATATATATATATACCATTATAGTATTTATTAAGATTTTGTATTTATTAAATGGTAAATACATTTTTTTTTTTTACTATTTACCAATTTACCATTTATTAATATCAATATATATTTTAAATGCATATTTAGTTTTGTATAAACAATGGGGAAAATATAGTATTTAGCATAATTTACCAGATAATTATCATTATTATATATTATTATATTGGGTGTTTTTCTGGGAAATTATGCAAAAAATACTATTTTATAGCCAGAAAAAAAATATGATAGGAAATGTTCATACACACCATCATTACACACATCTCATCAATATTATTATTTTATATATATATAAATGCCGTATTGTAGTTTTTTACTATTATTATTATTATTTTATACCTTTGTTATCTTTTGTATACAGTATGCATCCGTTTTATGTATGTTGCATGTTATGTCTGTGCCTTCTGAATGGTCTGGAAATAAAGTTGATGATGATGATGATGATATGTCATTATTTGTGTACTGCTGTCGCAGCTGAAGGCGGGCCGCTAGATGTGGCTCCAGTCGTTCCTCCAGATGTGTTCTTGAATCTTCGCTTCTCTAAAGATATCTCCTCAGAGCAGCCGGAGACCAGAAGCCTTGCAGAGTCGAACGCAGATCTCGTAGGGGAATGCTGCTCTCAAAGACATCAGACCATCATCTCATCAAATAATGTCTGACAGTTTGAGGGTTTTTTATGAGTAATTCTCTCTGTGTTGTTCTTGTATTGTAGAATCCTGAGGGTCGAAGGTTTATTAATGTGATCGATCTGACAGACGACTCTCTTCTTCAGAGTCTGCCTTCGTTTCCCCCGTCGTCTGCTGAGCTCCACCTACAAGCAGCTTCTGTCGTAAACCCCGCCTCTTCAGTGGCAAACCACACCCCTAAACCTGCTTAAACTCCGCCCCCCACCACTGAGCACTTTACTGAGAATCCGATTGGAGAGATTCCAGGTACACTGTCTTTTAGGAAGGGATTCCCCAACATTTTTGTCCTCCAAACCCCTTTATTATTTATTTATTTATTTATTTATTTCAAGCAAATACTGTAACAACAGAAATGATACATAATAATGATAATTGAAATGGACTGGGGAGAAGTAAAACTGTACTTTGACCTGAAATACAAGTTTTTTTAATAATTCTCTGATGCCAGTTAATGGTCACATGCCATGCAGGTAAACAAATAGGTTTTTACTATTGTTGTTGTTTTTTATTGCTAATTTTACATTTTAAATGATTTAATTAGAAGCTTTTCATCAACCAAGTTTGGTTAGGGCATAAACCAGACAAATTCGGTTTTGTTTACTATTTAGTAGAGGTGAATGTTTTTCATAAAATACAATACAATGCCTTCAAGGTACAGTATATGCTTTATCAGTTAACACAAATTACATATAAATATATGTTTAAGACAGTTTCGATATAGCAAATAAAACTTATGAAATTAAATTAGCAATAACTAAATACATTGGCAGTCAGAAGTTTTTATAGAAGTCTCTTTTACTCACCATGAGGATGCATTTATTTGATACAAAATGCTGTAAAAATAGTGAAATATTATTGTAATGTAAATCAGCTGTTATCTATGTGAATATCTAGTAAAGTGCAATTTATTCCTGAGATCAAAGCTGAATTTATCATCATTACTCCAGTCTTCAGTGTCACATGATCCTTCTGAAATCATTCAAATCATAAAATGTTATGAAAATTCAGCTTTGCATCACAACAAGATATTAGAACAGAAAACATTTGTTTTAAAATGTAATAATATGTCACAATATTACTTAATTTATGAAAAATCCAAAGCGACTTACATCACATTTCAAGTTACACATTTACATTCTTATCAGCTCTTGCTTTCCCTGGGAATCGAACCCATGATCTCAATTCTTGAGCGAATCCAACGCTCTCCTGTTTGAGCTACAGGAAAGCTATCTTTAGTTATAAAAATGGATACGTCAACGAAATCAACACTGATCCAAACTATTCCCTGCAGGTGTGTGTGTGTCTCCTGAAGCTGTGCTGGGCGGAGACCCCGTGACTCTGAGCGTGCTGAAGGCCGTGAACAGGCCTGGTCTGGAGCGAGCGCTGATGTCCAGGAGTCAGATCTCAGCTCGGCTCTCAGAGATGGACTCGCAGCTGCTCAGACTGCAGAGCATCGCAGATCACATGGACAGAGAGTTCGCCAACACCAGACTGGTGAGACACCAACCACATGTGCTGGGGAACACAACCAACAAAACAACAGACTGAGCCATCTTTTTTATAGCATATTATTAGACGTTCAAGCACAGAGTGCTGAAAACCTATTGTATTTGCTAGAAAGAAAAAAAAAATCCCCTAAAACGCATCGTGCAGCTCAAACCGTGTGGAGAAGCTATCCGAGTATGACCCCGATTGGCCCATAGGTGGCGCTACAGCAACCAAAAGTACTAAATTGCTCATAACTCCTAGACCGGTTGACTTAGCTTTAATGTTTTTACACCACTGTAATCCCTGGCTCAAGACGGACAAGATGTATATCTCGGATTTCCATTTGGAGCAAAAAAAAAATTGTTATTTCGGTTTTTGTCCAAGACCCACTTTTGCGAACTAGTCCCTGGTTTTTTGCCCAATCGGGACCAAACCAGTCTAGGCCTATTCTCTGGACTCTCTAGATCAATAATTATCGAAAAAAAAGTTGAAATTTTGCATTTGGTTGGCTGTAACAGGCTCATTTAGATAGTGGTCTGTGGCAAAATTAAGTCAAAAGCCCGTAAATCCCCCCCAAAAAGTCACAACGTCACAAAAATCGATGAGCATATGTGTCCTAACATGGTTAGGAAGCATGCAAAGCTTCGTGAGGATCGGATCATAGGTGGCTCTATAATCATCAAAAAGGTCTCTCATTATTAGGTGTTCAAGCACAGAGTGCTGAAAACCTATTGTATTTGCTAGAAAGAAAAAAAAATCCCCTAAAACGCATCGTGCAGCTCAAACCGTGTGGAGAAGCTATCCGAGTATGAGCCCGATTGGCCCATAGGTGGCGCTACAGCAACCAAAGTTTCGTGAGGATCGGATTATAGGTGGCCAATGAGTGGTGTTGTACTGCCCGCTGCTGTTTAAATTATTTTTTTTTCACAATACTCAACTATAATTCATAGTATAACTTTATCAATTCAATCTTTTAACATTTACAACCACATTCAGTAAAAAATGACTATGATCCTGAAGTTGAAAATGAGTGTGTGAACTAAACTGTAGTAAATCATATTTTAACATGGTAAATTATGATAAATCATATTGGAACATGGTTAATTATGTAATATCACACTGAAATGTAGTATAATATGATAAATCACGCTTGCTACATACAACTTAATGTCGTTTGATGCTTTTGTGCTTAAATGCCTTAAAGATCTGAACTGCTTGAACACCGATAAATGCTGCTTGCAGCTTTAATTATTATTATTATAGCTTATGTATTTAATCTAAGCAATTTTGTGCATGTCTCATTTGCTAACTTACTAAACTATTATTATTATGTGTAAAGTATATCACTTCTTGACCTCTATATTTATCATCTATTATTCACTGAAGCACATTCATATCTGTTAACTACGACTGACGACTGTCCTGTTGTCCTTCAGCTGGTGAAGCGTGTCGAGGCCCAGAGCTCCTCCGTGAAGAAGCCGCTCTCCAGCGCGCTCAGAGTCACACGGGAAGGTTAGAAAGCGTTAGTCGCTTTATATAGAGAAAATACACAAGCCCATTGAACACGTGTGTGTGTGTGTGTTTCTACAGCGAGGAGTTACTGCCCTTCAGCGCAGCGGTTCGACCCGGACAGAGAAGATGAGGAGTTTCTGTCGTCCTCTGAATCGAGCCGATGTTCAGTCCATCAAGAGCGCTCTCCTCCTGAAGGTACATCATCATCTCTACTCCGCCATCGGCTAGTAAGCCTTCTCCTGCTGTTAGCATCCCATTGACTCACATTCATTTTGGCGTAACTTTGACAGCGAATAACTTTTCATCTGAGGCGTTTGAAGACTCCATTTGTCCATTGTTTATTTCTAAAGAAACACGACAATGTATAAAAGGCTCTGTTACTTTGTATACGTAATGGTCCACTAGTGGTCCGTGAGGGTACTGCAGGTGGTCTGTAAAAAAGGCAAAATAAAATATGAAATATTTTACCAATAAATTCCCATTAAAAAGTAAAAAGAATATGTAGGCCTATATTTATATCAAATGTAAATTAAATTGTCAAGCTATTGTGTGATTTACTAAAATAGTGACGCTCAAGGTCCGTGTCGTCAGAACCACAACACCGGATCGGTGAATAGCAACAGGTTAGGAGAGCATTTATTTAGTTGTTTGTTTTTAATATAGGTCTCTATTAGACAGACGAAACAAAGAGGAAGGGAAAGATGTGGAGGGTGACAAAGGAGGATATTACGTTCATATCGGGCTGGCAGATAGACTCCAATAGCTTTTCCTTTTGACAACTTTATTTTCAACCTGGAATAACGTTAGCCCTACTGTGTTTTCATTAAATGTGTAACGTTATAGGGCAGAGGCAAATATGTTCTCAAGTCTACTTTTGAACTCTTAAGATTAATATTAATAATCCCCTAAAATCGCTAAAGGTTTTGAAATGCTGACTATATCCAAGTGTTCTTATTGCTGTATGGATTTCATACTCCATTGCTATGGAAATAAGCCTGTTGTTCAAATGAACCTCATTATAATATGTAATAAATAATATAACATGTAATATGTGTATTATGAGGTGGTCCGTGAAAAATCTTGATTACAAATAGTGGTCCACACACACAAAAAGTTTGAAAACCCCTGCCGTAGAAGCCGTTTTTGTAAAAATAGGCTAACGATTGCGTCATATCACGCGACTCTCTGTCGCACAGTAGAGAAATTACCGTGTAGACCCTTTTTCAGTTGGTAAACATGGTGATGTTTTTTGTGGGCGGAGCTTAGGTGGAGGCAGAACGATCCCTCTGGCCGCTTCACTAACTAGTTTGCTAGTTTTGTTAGCTTGTTTTTTAACAATGACTGGAGAACATCTGACTTTATCTTAATGTGCAAGGTCACTCAGTGTCCAGGACCGCGATTGTTATTTGCAAAAGTTGATTTTAACGGATTGAAGCAGTGGATGGACGATCTGACGGGATTAACGCTAACGCTACCTCCGGTTGAGTGGCCTGACTTCTACACCTATCCAATAGAGAAACTGAGGGCACATAAATCTTTAGATGCCTATAACTATGTGCTGAATGGTCATGTACAAGACTTTTGTGGTACATTGGCCTAGCCAGCGCCCAGAGGACGACAATGTTGTGACATTACGGTGCAGTTTTTTTTTTTTTTTTTTTTTTTTTTTTTTACTTTATTTTAAAGGATTTTTCAAGTTAAAACACAAAACAAACAACAAACAATGGCTCGGACTACACACACTATTAATTTTTCATCGATTCTTGCTGCCAACAACACAATAGGATGGCATTTAAAGGTACACTATGTAGGAATTCCGTGTTTGTCAAACAGCGACCTCTGGAGTATGGGTATATATGTGTATATGAGAGTGGAAATAAGGCGTGGCCCCTTTAAGAGTTGCGCGCGCCGGGTTAATTCTGTTTGATGCTCATTCTTATCCTATTTTAAGTGAAAGCCTGACCGAGTGAGACTCTTGACGCGGTCAGTTTCTCGTTTTCTTTTCCTTGACTCTTCCGAGCCTGTGGTCACGTGACGGTCGTAAAGCGATACGTTCTCCAGGGATTCTCCAGGTCACATGACTGATGATGGTGACGCTGATGGTGTCAAGCGCTGTATATTGGCCTGAGGAATCATTTAAAATAACTATGCGTCAACTCTTTTGGCCAAAAAATTACACGGTGTGCCTTTAATAATAATGATAATAATTTAAGCTGTTGGCAGTTATGGAATGAACAGATACAGCAGCCTGTAAATATTTTATTTATTTATTTTAAATATTTTATTTTATATTTTTGTTGTTTTTGTGTAATGGTTGTTCACTGATCACTGTGTGTGTTAATCCAGTCGCACACACTCATGTTCACTGTGTGGTTCAGCTTCCTGTTTAACATGATCTTGTTGTTTTCCAGTGAAACCAGAGCAGCGTAAACAAGATACCGATCAAGGTGAGACACACACACACACACACACACACACACACCTACACCTGCAGCTGCCGTCATGGACGCCTGTGTTGTCGGCTGTTTCCCTGCAGGTCTGCCTGAGTCTCTGCTTGAGGATGCTGGGAAGTGAGTTAGCCTGACAGTATTTGAGAGTTTCAGCGTTCGCCGGTGACGTCTGCACGTGTTCCTCTGATTATCCTTCTTTTCCTCCCTGTGATCAGTGGAGAGGAGACTCTCGGTGTGAGCGGCCTCAGTGACGTGGAGGACATCTTGAGTGAGTTGATCCGGGACGGGGTGCTATCCCGATCCGCACTGGACCTGTCCCGGCCCGCAGCGCCGCCCCTGAGCAGGTGCGACTCGGGAATCGGGATTCTCTACAGTTTGGATATTAGTTCGAGCATAATTCTTTCCCTAGTGTCCTATTATTGTGTTAAAGTTGATTTCATCAGATAACGGTTGAGTTTTTCATAAGCAGTTTTTACTCGAATGCAATGTTCTTTTAGGATCATTAACATGCCATTTATGGTTTTTATTAATATTTTGAATTAGTTTTTATTTTTATGTTTAGCATTTTATTTTCAAGTTTAGTTAGTGTTATAGTTTTTTGTGTTGTGTGTTTTTGTGTAATTATTTTTAAATATGTATATATGTAGTTTTTATTCATTATTATTTCAGTTTTAATCATTTTAGTACTTCAACTAAAACTAAACAAAATGCTAAACAAAATTATTTCTAGCATTATTAGCATTAGTATTAGCATTTTTTAATGTAATATTATATATAATAATAGTATATAATAATAATAATTATATATATATATATATATATATTAGGGCTGTGCAAAAATGAATTGCGATTAATCGCATCCAAAATAAAAGTCTGTGTTTACATAATATATTTGTGTGTGTAGTGTGTGTGTGTGTATAATTACTTTTTATATATAAATACACACACATGCATGTATATATTTAAGAAAATGTGTTATTCATATATAAAATATTTATATAATATAGATTATGTATATATATATATATATACAGAATTTAAGCGCAAATAATTCATAAATATATACATGCATGCATAGGTATTTATATATACAAAATAATTATATACAGCACACACAAATATATTATGTAAACACAGACTTTTATTTTGGATGCGATTAATCACAATTAATTTTTGCACAGCCCTAATATATATATATATATACACATTTATTTGTATTTTTTTTTACTTCCCCTGTTTGGATAAAAGTGTCTGATTGATGAATGTATCAATCTCAATGTAAATGATCTCTGTTATGATTGTGTGGGATTAAGTGGATTAGTGTGGGATGTGTGACATGTTTACTGATTGATTTGATTGGTGTGTTTATGTGTGTTTATGTGTGGTGGGCGGCAGGTCGGAGGTCAGTGCGAGCGGGGCCATGATGGAGGAGGAGCGCAGGGATCTGAGGATGTGGATGAGGAGGAAACAGAGAGAGCGACTGATGGAATACCGGAAACAGAGAGAAGAGAAGAGAGCGAGCGAGCGCAGACCCTTCGTCTCTCCTCTCACACACGTGAGACGCTTCAGTTTGACTCTTCTCACAATCTGTACTTCATGCAAAGCTTTATTTCTGTTGGATTAACCATGAACCATGATGTATTATTTGCATTATTGATTGAGTATTATTGATTTTGAATGTTAGTAATTTTATATATATTTATACTGAGCTGGTGAGAATTATTTGCCCCCTTGGTAAATATGATCAAAGATGGCTGTAAAAAAAATAATCTGCATTGTTTATCCTTTTGATATTTTATTAAAAAAAAAAAAAAAATCTAACCTTTTATTGAAGTAAAAGAATTGAAAGTGGGAGGAAAATCACATTATGAAATAAATGTTTTTCTCCAAAACACATTGGGTGAGATTAACAATGCAGATTCATTTCATTCATTCATACCAAAAGGGGGCAAATAATTCTCACCGGCACTGTGTGTGTGTGTGTGTGTGTATATATATATATATATATATATATATATATATATATATATATATATAAAATAACTAACATTCAAAATCAATAAAATCACTATCATTCAAAAATTTGGGGTTGGAAAGATTTTTTTTTATTATGTTTTTGAAAGAAGTCTCTTCTGCTCCCCAAAGCTGCATTCATTTGATCAAAAATACTTTAAAAAGGGAAATATAGTTAAAAAATGTGTTTTCTATGCAAATTGTAAAGTGTAATTTATTCCTGTTATCAAAGCTGAATGTTCATCATCATTACCCCAGTCTTCAGTGTCACATGATCCTTCAGAAATCACTCTAATATGAGGATCTGATGATCAAGAAACATTATTAGGCACAAACCTATCATATGTAAATAACAATAATTTGTAAATAATAATGTTATATAGATATTGCATTACATTATTACATAATATATGTAATGTCTTTATGAGTCAGACGTTATATTAACATTAATATTTTCTTGGAAAAAAGTAATTCACAAATATTGTACACATCTTTAGTTCTATACTGAACAAACTCCAGATGAATCATTATTTCCATTCACTTTGCGTTTGGATCTGGACAATCTCTAGCTTTTCTCCATATGTTTTGAAGTCTATTATGTAAAGTTTGCACAATAACTCTTGATAACTTTTCTGAATTATTCACCTCTGTTTCAGAATCCAACCTCTGTAGATCTGGCAACCAGCAAGAGAAGCAAAGAAGAAAGAGACAGGTATGATTATGTGTCACGCGTGTTGGACTAACATTAGATGTGTCCAGAATGACACACTATGGACTCAAACGTCTTGCTCATGAATTTATACGGTTATTTAGTCATCCAATGTGGGAGTCTGATAGCTCTGCCCCTTCCACTACATCATTAAAGCTGCGACTGTTGAATGCAGGAACACTTTGTTTTTTCAGGGTTTTTCAGGGTTTAAGTAAACTTTATACTTTGGAAATTTTCAGTGTATTTTTTTTCACAGAGTCTAAGTCCCTCCCCTTCCGGTCGACCACCATGGGACCGTATTTCTGAAAAATATTGTATGGTAGTCAATAGAGTGCCGAAGTGATGACGTCACTTTGTAGGACAACTCGGACGCTAGCGGCGAATGGGTTCCCTCGGTCGAAAAGCAATGCATTTTCCCCATAGACTTTTGGAAAATCGTAAAAAATAAGATCTGTGTTTAACAAAGGGTTATGACCCTTACACGTTTTGACTATCAAGATAATCTTTACAAGTTAATCCAAAATTTATACATTTTGAAGCCTATATAATGTTTAAAAACCATAGGCAGACACAATAAAGTTTAAAAAACACAAGCAGGCTATAACTGTGTGTTTTATGTCAAAGATCAAAACGTGTAAATATTTAGAGGCTTTGTTCACCACAGACCTTATTTAGCAAAAACCCATTCAAAAATCCCATAGACTCACTTTAGAGCGAGGGAACCGTAATGCTAAAATGTTACTCTTCTGTTTTATGAAAAACTGCGATTTTCTTGACTTTCATAATTATCTTTTAAATTGACAAACATCATTTGTGTAATTCAGGGCACAGATTAGAGGGAATGAAAAGATAAGTTGTCTCTCACCATTGACTACCATACGTATTTTTTTTTCCCAAATAAGGTCCTATGAGCCTTTATTTACTTTATTATAACACAATATTTGTATTGTGTGGTAACCGTTTTATAAAAGCAATAAGGAACGAGAGGCTAGTGCTGAATCCTGAAAAAGTCACCCGTGAGCTAATTTCTTACATAAAATAGTGCATAAGCATGTGCATTGGGACAATTTCAATTCCTTTTATTGCCAATGCATGTATTATACAATGAAATTGATTAGCAATCCTTAATTTTTATTGTATAATACATGCAATGACAATCAAAGGAAGTTGAAATGAATCTGATTGGGTCGCGTCCCGATCCACATATTTCCCCTGTTCTCAGGACGGTTCTTCAGGAGCATCATGAACGGAGAGCTCGTGACGCCTGCAGTCTGATCACTGACCTGCTCACCACACCACTGAACCTTCCCACAATCCCCCACGACACGCTCAGGTCGGTGCCGTCTGTGTGATCACCATGGGGAAATCCCAGAGTCAAACTGGGAGCTGGGAAATTAGACGTTTGAGAAGTTTATCTACGTATACTTTTTTTTTTAACTCTTTTAATTCCTTTTATAACCGTATCATCTTTGTAGCTCTTTTATTTAATTCCGTTTATAACTGTTTTAATTTTCCTTGCGTTTATTTTGCGATTATTTTAAACTTTACTTTGAATTACCATACCGTATGAAATGAGCTATATACAGTAGCCTTTTTCAAGAAACGGCTGAAGACGCATCGTTTTCGGCAACACTTGATCCATTAACACTCTATCCGTACTTCACATCCCGGCACATCCGGGAACTTAACTGTCAATTTCGGCCCCGCCCCTTTTTACGGGAGAACTAACTACAGTTGCCATAGACTTCAATACAAAATAATGGCACAAAACAAAGTCCGTACACAGCCGACTTAAGAAGTCACTGATATAAAACATGTCAAGTAATTATATGTCCACCCTGCCTGCGATACATACACGAACTTCATTTGGTCAATTTAAAAACATGTCCCTTCATTCTCCCAGCGTCAAACTGGTCGAACAAGCCCACCCACCCAATCGGGTTTTATATATTTATATATATATATTATAATTAGGGCTATGCAAAGATTAATTGTGATTAATCGCATCCAAAATAAAAGTTTGTCTTTACATAATATATGTGTGTGTATATTTATGATCAAAACCTTTTCTAATCTTGACAAAACACATATTGTCAGAAAGGTCTGAGTCTCAAGGTCCCAAATTTTGTGACTGAATTGATATTTGGACAGAAATGTATTAATTTGTTAAGGCGGAATGTATACAACTACTGTAAATTCAATGGAATTCAATGGCACCCGGTGGCTATTTTTGGTACTACGCCTAAACAAAATCTCATGGGAACTTCAATTTTTGTGATATCAACTTTAAACTTTGAGGCTTTGATTTTATAGTAATTTTAGAGTAAAACATTTTTTGTAAAATGTATATTTTATATAAAATAAAAATATATTGTACAGTATATTTGATTTACTGTCAATTTAAACTTCCATAACTGTTTCATACTTTCATTTTTTGAAGTGTTTTCACTTCAGCAATAATCTGCTGAGTGTTTCCTTTAAAACAAGACCAAACTTGGGTATATCTTGAATTACAACCATTTAAGTGTGAATAGTGCATTTTAACCCCATTCTCAAACAGGGGGGTGACCGCTAAGGGGTTAAATGCTTCTATTGCTCTCGTTTGTGAGTCGCTTTGGATAAATGCAAATGCAAATATAAATAAACTTGTTTTACTGTTCCGTCTGTCAATTAGTGGCGCATCTTTACAGGAACCTTTTGGCAGCTCTGTGTTTTGGAGACGGATCACAAATCACGCTTAATATCCTTCCCTGTGTTTCAGGAGCAGAAGTCAAGCCTCTGGGAAAAACAAGAGGATTCCCAAGAGCCAGAGCGGCCCACACAGACGCTCGGCATCTTCTCTGGGAAAGACTGTTGTGCTTCAGGGGAAAGCCCACGGCTCGCTAAACCAGAGGCTCGGGCTGCACAGACCAGGTCCATGTCGGATAATGGACTGATTTTATTTATTAATGCTGATCGTGATCGTTTTAAAAACGTTCAATCTCACGTTTCTCACACAGCCACTGATCTTCCAGGCGATCGGCTATCCCAGGTCACTCGGCGCGGGATGCTGTCCGACCTGAGAAGCAGACAAGGGACGAAGACCGCTCATCAGAGTATGCGGTTTCTGAATGTGTTTGTGAAAAAATATCAGAATGAGGTTCATAGACGAGTATAAATTAGACTTAAATACAGTCAAACCAAAAATTATTCAGACACCAGATATCATTTGTGATATTTGTTTACTAGTGTGTGCAGGACACTATAGTTCAAGTAAACTGTGACATATTATAGCCAAATATTCTTCATACAGTGACTAACAGTGATAATGAGGGACCAAATATGATTCCTCCACTTTGAGCTGATGATGTTTTGCTGAAGTGTGTTTTCTGCTCTTTTTCCACACACACTGAACAACATGAAGCATTGCTTGGTCACTGGTTGAGCTAAACTGGTATTATCTAATTGTGGAGTTCAATTGAACAGATATTCAACATAATTCATGTGTGAGAGTCCAACAGAACCAGTCGAATATCCACTGAGTTCTGCTCATGTTTATCACCATTATCTAAACTATAGCGGATAAACTGATAATGTGAGAAATGGTGAAGGCGTCTAAATAAGTTTTGGTTTGACTGTATGTATGTGTAAATATCAGTGGTGGAATGTAACGATGTACAAATACTTTGTTACTTTACTTAAGTACATTTTTCACGTATCTTTACTTAAGTAGAATAAATAGTGCATACTTTTTACTTTTACTTCGTTACATTTTGCAGCAATTATTCTACTTTCTACTCCACTACATTTCTACAACTTCTGTTACATTTTCTGATCAGTTTTTCAGTTTGCCAAAACGTAATCTGACCGTCCGTTCGTTGCGCGTTTGTCTCACCAGTGACGTTTGGTTGCCATAGATACATCAACTAAATGCGTCTCGCACGCAGTGTGTTTATCGTGCAATTTATAAGCAAAAATTTTTTTTTACGTGCATAGGAAACACACTGTGTGTAATATACGTTTGGTTAGGATTATGGCAAGCCAAGAGGTTCAGAATTACACCATAAATTAATCGTGTTTACCGCCAAACATATTAACATATAGTAAGGTTAAGCATGGTTTATGTTGCCTAATTGCAAGCTTGTTTCAGAAATGGTGACAACATTTTTTTCCCATCATTATAGATCATCATTATAGGAGTATTAGGTTGAATGAGTTAGAATTAAATGTTTTATTAATCATTAGAAAATATTAATTAAGAGAATCAATTGTTATGCAAGTACTTTTACTTTTAATACTTAAAGTATATTTAAAATCAGGTACTTTTTACTTAAGTATGGTTGTCATTGTGTTACTTCTACTTTTACTAAAGTAAATATTTATCTGGTTATTTGTACTTTTACTTAAGTACTGAGATTCAGTACTTCCTCCACCACTGGTAAATATACACAATAAACAAAACATACAAAATATGTCTGCACGGCTACGGCGTAATCTCTATTTATGCAGGGATATATGCACATATATTCTCGTTTGTTCTTCTGTAGTGATGAAAAATGGGTTCCACACGTCTACAGCTAAACCGAGAGTAGTGAAAGAGAAAGAGCGGACGCATGTGGAGGAACGAGACGCAGATGACCTCAGGATTCCTCTGTTGGAGGATCAGGATATAGAAGCTCACCAACATTATGTAAACACAGACTTTTATTTTGGATGCGATTAATTGCAATTAATTTTTGCACAGCCCTAGTTATAAATAATGTTACATTTAATTTAAATAATTTTAAAAACATCAGCCAGCATCTTTCTCAATCCGCTGGCTAATAGTACAACATGATACTGTGACTGTTGTATTCCTCCAGGCCGATGAATCGTTCATGAACGTGGATCATCTGCGAGATCTGGATCTGGACTGTTTCTCTCAGAGCACCGGTAGTGTTCTGAGCAAACTGGACTGGTCCGCCATCGAGAGGATCGTGGCCGAGGACGAGGACGAGCAGAACTGAGGAGATGTTTCACACAGGACCTCCAGATGTTGTGCAGCTGTTGACTGTGAAGGATTGTGGTATTTGTGTGTGTGTATCATTTGTGTCTTGACTGTTTGAGTAAACTGTCGGCACAGATTTGTGCGGAATAAACAAGAATCTCTCACAGGTGCGTTGTTGGTTTCCTTCTGGACGCCTGACAGAACGCAGAGCTCTCCACAAACTACAACACACTGAACACTGGACATTTGGGGTAAAACTGTACAATAAGGTTTCATTTTCAAACTAATACTACAACATGTTCATTTCAACTTTTGATAATACATTTTTAAATCAAAAGTAGCCACGCCCCAAACTCTCCACCTAATTGTATTTTATGAACTAAAGATTAATAACTGCTGTATATGCTCATTGTTAGTTCATAACTAATCCACTGAGTAATGCTAATGAATGGGAAAGTGTTAGTGTAATTTATGGTTGAATTTGTCTTATTGCATTTCTAAGATTTGTTTATTTGACAATCCTTTAATAAAATACTGTGAAACGGAATATCTCATATTTTCCCAATTATTAATCACATCCATGTCATTAAAAATGAGACCTGAGCTGAAATATTGTCAAGCACAATTTCTGTGAAGAGATATTATTGTTTGATATTAAACCCTTTACAATAAGGTTCTGTTTGTTGTTAGCATGAGTTAACAAACTAACAAGAAACATGATTTGGTTATTGTTAATCTCAAAATGTACGAATACATTACTAAGATTGAAAGTTGTGTGAATATATTACCTTATTATTCGGAGAATAAAGAAAGCATTTCGTTTTCAGATTAGTTGTAATACAATCGTGTATTTATATTATCAGCTTCATAAATAACAATGGATTTTGTTTAAATACAAGGTACAAAGTAAAGAAAAACAGGAAAAACGTTGATTATGGTCAAATTATTTATCAATTTCTAATTATTTATTTCTAGTCAAATTATTTTATAATTTTATTCCGTGTGAACAAATACTCACTAAAAGCTTCGAGATAAACATGTCTCAAAAGTAATCGAGGACTTAAGAAGGGACTTTTATTTTGACTTCTGGCGTCCCGGAAGTGACCGTTATTATTGTCATGGCTGATCGGAGCAGTGCTTCTGGTAAGTTTGTGTGTTTTATACGTGTTTTATAAAGTATTTCTCTCTTCTAAGTGAGATGAATGTGTTTGAACTGCAGGACAGTGTTTTTTTCTGAAAGCTGTGATGGTTTAATAAAGTCAGATACTGTCAGAGTAGCTGTTATGATCATCTGAGGCTCCTCAGGCACATGTGATTTGAACATTATTTATTAATAATTCAGTCATACGAGCATTTAGCGTTCATTTCTGTCGCTCATCGACTGCCTTATGAGTGAATATATTTGCAATATTTCGTTGGTTGGGCTTTTACCATGGTAGCACTATGGTATTCATTAAAGTGCCCTAGATATACTATTAACACCAAACACTCGATATAATGCTAATAATAGAAATTATTCATATTATTTAACCGGCTTTATGTTGTTAATTTTTTGCTTATCACCCATGAATTATTCATCGCTTTAAATACATACACCAGCTTTATATTTATTTATAGAAAAGTAATAATAGCAATAGAAATTCCAAAATGAAACTCTAATTTTCCTCTCTTTAGATTATTATTAGTCATTTTTTATTTTCTGAATTTTTGCCTCCCACCCACACATATTCCTCATTCGAAGTAAACAAATATACCCTGAAGTTATTTTTGATAAGGTAATAGTAAAAATAATGTTGTTATAATAATAGAACATCTAAAATGAAAATCATATTTTGCCTTTAGATTATTATTAATATTTGTCATTGTTTTATACATTTTGCCTGCTAGCCATAAATTAAAAATAAATCAATAATTTTTTTTTTATAAATTTAATAATAGAAATTATGCAACAATTTAAATAGTAGATAATCAAAAATGACACAATAATTTCCCCTATAGATTATTATTAATATTATTTAATAACTGTTGCCTAAAACCCACACATTATTCATAGTTTAAAATAAATAAACAAATACTGTAATAATCTTTATAAATTGAAACTCAAATTTTAACTTTAAATAATATTACTATTTGTTTTTTTATTTAATTAATTTGTGTTTTATAGATTTTTGCCACTCATAAATAATTCATCATTCAAAATAAAATATGAATTCCTCTAGATATGAATGCATTGTATTGTTTTCTGTGATTGACAGGTGACTCCAGTAACGATGCAGACATCTCGTCAGTCATGGGCTTCGCTGGATTCGGTGAGTGTTTCACCTCAGACGTCACAGAAGCAGGAGTGTGTGTGTGTGTGTCAGTCACATGATCACTTGTAATATTTCTTTGGCTCTCAGGAAAGAAAGCTCGAACCTTTGACCTGGAGGCCATGTTTGAGCAGACGAGGCGGACGGCGATCGAGAGAAGTCAGCGAGCTTTAGGTCAGTGTGATTATTCACTGTGATTCTGTCTCAGAAACGCCATTTTAACCTCGATCTTCTTCACCTTCACAGAAGAGCGGCAGAAACAGGAGGTTCAGGAGAGCAGCGGCTTCCGTCCCGTCAGCGCCAAAGAGAAACCGTCCGCATCCACGTCCAGGTAACGTCTCTATTCGACGAGCAGCGTTCAGATGAAATTTAAATGAAAATTGACCCATGATTTACTCACATCCTAGGTGTATACGACATTCTTCTTTCAGACGAATATAATAGGAGTTATATTAAAAAATGTCCTGGCTCTTCCAAGCTTCATATTTGGCAGTGAATGGTGCACTTTTATTCACTTTTATGATGAGAGATGCACTTTTATGATGGACAGATGCACTTTTATGATGGACAGATGCACTTTTGTGATGAATAGATGCACTTTTATGATGATAGATGAACTTTTATGATATATAGATGCACTTTTTATGATGGATAGATGCACTTTTATGATGGATAGATGCACTTTTATGATGGACAGATGCACTTTTGTGATGAATAGATGCACTTTTATGATGATAGATGAACTTTTATGATATATAGATGCACTTTTTATGATGGATAGACGCACTTTTATTATGGACAGATGCACTTTTATGATGATAGATGGACTTATGATGGACAGATTCACTTTTTTGATGGATAGATGCACTTTTATGATGATAGATGCACTTTTATGATGGACAGATGCACTTTTATGATGAACAGATGCACTTTTATGATGATAGATGAACTTTTATGATGGACATTCACTTTTATGATGGATAGATACACTTTTATGATGATAGATGCACTTTTATGATGATAGATGCACTTTTATGATGGACAGATGCACTTTTATGATGTATAGATGCACTTTTTTGATGATACATGGACTTTTATGATGGACAGATGCACTTTGATGGATAGATGCACTTTTATGATGGATAGATGCACTTTTATGATGGATACATGGACTTTTATGATGGATAGATGCACTTCTATTATGGACTTCAAAACAGAAATTGTCATTCACTGCCATTATAAAGGTTGGAAGAGCCAGCCCAGGACATGTTTAATATAACTCTGATTGTGTTCGTCTGAAAGAAGAATGTCATACACATCTAGGATGACTTCAGGGTGAGTAAATCATGCGCTAATTTTCATTTTTGGGTGAATTATCCCTTTCAGCTCAGTCACCGTGAGTCTCTCCTGTGTTTGTGTGAACAGGAAACAGGAAGCTGATAGTGACAGTGACTCTGATGTCATCGGCCCACCGTTGCCTCCTCAGGAGGAAGAAGAGGATGATGATGATGATGAAGTTGTTGGGCCTCCACTTCCACCCGGATACAAGCGCAGCAACGCTGACAGCGATGATGATGATGATGATGATGAAGATGATGATGATGATGATGATGATGATGTAAGTGTATTTTTCATCTTTTTACTCCCATGACCATATTCAATGGTTAGTTTATATTATTTACAGTCAAACCAAAGTGTATTCACACACCTTCACCATTTCTCACATTATCAGTTTATCCGCTATAGTTTAGATAATGGTGATAAACATGAGCAGAACTCAGTGGATATTCGACTGGTTCTGTTGGACTCTCACACATGAATTATGTTGAATATCTGTTCAATTGAACTCCACAATTAGATAATACCAGTTTAGCTCAACCAGTGACCAAGCAATGCTTCATGTTGTTCAGTGTGTGTGGAAAAAGAGCAGAAAACACACTTCAGCAAAACATCATCAGCTCAAAGTGGAGGAATCATATTTGGTCCCACATTATCACTGTTAGTCACTGTATGAAGAATATTTGGCTATAATATGTCACAGTTTACTTTATTTTGCTCTCCTCACTTGACGAGTGAGTGATATGACGAGTGATACATGAGTGATGTATGAGATATGATGAGTATGATCTCAGTGACATGCAGTGTCTTTGTAATGTGTCAGTTGCGCCACTAGAGGGCCACACTGCCATTATCATTTCTGGAAATATGGAAGACTCAAGACTGTGTGAAGCTTGTCTTTTGGTTTCTTCTCTAAAGACTCTCTTCTCCCGTCATTGACCTTAGACGTCTCTGTTGAGTTTGGATGAAACTCGTGGAACCTCTCTGAAGAATACATCTAGGTCATGTTTCACTTTAAAATGAAAAGAATACTATAAACTAAAATATTACTATATAATATAGTAAATAGCATATAATATAAAATAAAATGATATTTTAGGTAAAAACTAATTTTATCTCAAATGTAATTTTATGCAAAAATATGTATTTAAAAAAACATATATATATATATATATATATATCTATTAAAATACAAATAATTAAAGTATACAAATACATAATACATATATACTTTATAGCGTATACTATAATAAATCATACAAATTATATTTATTTTTTATTTGTTGTAAAAAATAAATATTATGGCAATGTCTTCTAGTGGCTTTAAAGGGTTAGTTCACCCAAAAATGAAAATTCTGTCAGTATTTACTCACCCTCATGTTGTTCCAAACCTCTATGTGTTTATTTGTTCTGCTGAACACAAAGGAAGATATCTGGAAGAATGTATTAATCAAACAGATCTCAATCCCCATTGACTAACATTGTAGGAAAAAATACATACTATGGCAGTCAATGGGGAATGAGATCTGTTTGATTAAAACATTCTTCCAGATATCTTCCTTTGTGTTCAGCAGAACAAATAAACACATAGAGGTTTGGAACAACATGAGGGTGAGTAAATACTGACAGAATTTTCATTTTTGGGTGAACTAACCCTTTAAGTTATGCTTAAAATAAGCATGATCTGAAATGGAAAGCTTTTGTAACATTAATCACTACCATTCAAAAGTTTGGGGTCAGTAAGAATATATTTTTTATTTTTGGGGAAAGAAATTAGAAAATACTTTTATTCATCAAGGATGAGTTAAATTGATCAAAAGTTACAGTAAAGACATTTATAATGTTAGAAAAGATTCTATTTTAAATAAATGCTGTTCTTTTGAACTTTCTATTCATCATAGATTTTTTTGGGGGGGGGGAATAGCACACAACTGTTTTCAACATTGAAAATAATAATTTATGTTTTTTGAGCATAAAATCCTCATATTAGAATGATTTCTGAAGGATCATGTGACACTGAAAACTGATGTGTAATCAGCAACAGTAATGATGTTGAAAATTCAGCTTTCAAATTACATTTTAAAATATTTTAAAATAGAAAACAGTCATTTTAAATTGTCATAATATTTCACAATATTACTGTTTGTCATTTTTTTTCATCAAATAAAACAGCCTTGGTGAGCAGAAGAGACTTCATTTAAAAACATAAAAAATCATACTAATCTAAAACTTTTAACCGGTAGTGTTTATATATATATATATATATATGAAGAGTTCAGATGCAAAAGCCTCTAAGTGCCATTTGAAATTTTCTTCTAAAATGATCATTTTTATCAAGCTTGTATATTTAAGTTCAGTAATTTCACTTAAATGGCAATGAAGATTACCTATTAATTGTTATTTAAGTGAAATTACTGAACTTAAATATACAAGCTTGATAAAAATGGTCATTTTAGAAGAAAATTTCAAATGGCATTTAGAGGCTTTTGCATCTGAACTCTCTTCATATATATATATATATATATATATATAATTTAATGCGGATAAAAATTTGCTTCATTTTCTTTGGTTTCTCTCTAAATTTTTACATTTTAGGATGAAATATGACCTGGTAAATGTTTTCATGATCTCTGTCTCTCTCTCTCTCTGTGTCTCTCTCTCTCGGTCTGTAGTAAATGTCTTGCTCTCTCTCTGACAGTGTGCAGGCCTCCTCTTCCCCAGGCCTGTGGTGTTTGAGGGCCGCTGTGGGCCGGTTTGATAGATGTGTTCTGGTGTCGGGCCGCCCCGGTGATGTCTCTGTACTCCACTTAATGTATCCCATCAGGCCCAGGTGTGCCGTGCGAGTTTTGTTCGAGCCTTAATCAGCCAATGCCACAAATCACACAGACCTGCGTCTGTTTCATTCGAGAACAACCCCACTGTGAGCGCTTTTAGCAGTGTGTTTTGCACTAAAAGAAATAAAAAGTGAACCGTATCCTGAATTAAAGGGGACCTACATGCCCTTTTACTGTCTTGATGTGTTTCAGGCTCTACTAGAACAGGTTTTCCTGCTTGAATGTTGATTATTTTCCTCCTCATATTCTCCATTGTTGCGGCTCCTCTCTTCCCAGTCTGTCAGTAACGCTCTGTTTACTTCCTGTCTCTCCTTCTGAAAAGCACACTGTGATCTGATTGGTCGGCTGGATCAGTGTGTTGTGATTGGTCGAGTGTGTTTGGGAAATGTCCCACCCCTTACCATAACCACCGGTTTAACACACTACTAACTAACTCAACCAGGCCCCGCCCCTTTATTCTGCATATTAATTATTATAATGAGGAATATTGTGACGTGTTCGTTCCCGGAAGAAACTCAAGACTACAATGGAGGCGTTTCAGGAGTTCAGAAACACTGATATAGAGGAGGACTGGACCTTTTTCAGCAACATTACACACTAAAGAGAGATGAACATGGGTTTCAAAAGTTGCTGAAGGTCTTTCTTTCTCTCTTTCTGAAACAGAATCCAGTGAAGAAGATCCCGGACACTCATGAGATCACGCTTCAGCACGGATCTAAATCCGTAAGTCCACTCGTTTGCTCCTGAACGCTAGTTGGGATTTGTGAGGATTATATAATCTGATTCTGACTCAGGCATGAGCTCAGAGTTAAAACTTATCCATAGTTTTATTATACTGATACATTTTACAGATTGTTTCAAAGCCGCTTCACAGAAATAAACAGGAAAATGAGTGCTAATGTTGAAAAAATTCATCAATTATGATCCCAATTTCAGCTCTACAGAAGATAAGTGTCATTATTCAGTTTTCAATGTTGATATAATTCAGTTCAACAACATTGGATTCATCGATTCAGCTGTAGTTCACAATTCAGTTCTCATCCCATAGTATCAGTGCTTTTGAAACTCAATTCAGTTCAAGTTTTGTTTGTCAACTCAATTCAGTTCAAATATCTGTTTGTAATTTAATTTTGTTCTCATCTGATAGTGTCAGTGCAGTTTAAATGTTAAATATTGCTCAATTATTCATATTAATTGTTATTTCATGCCACAAAAACAAACATGTAATAAAACTCAATTTAGTTCAGATTTGGTTCATCATTTAATTCAGTTCAAACTAAATGAGCTCATCACGTTTTGTTCTCATCTGATAGTGTGAGTGCCGTCAAATCGACTAAAAAGCCAATCTAATGAATCTCAATTCAGTTCAAATTTAGTTTGTAACTCAATTCGGTTCGAACATCTAAAGAAACTCAATTTTGTTCTTATCCGATAGTGTTAGTGCAGTTTAATTGGTAAATAATAAATATGAACTGATTTTTCATGCCAAAAAAGACCATCTAATGAAACTCAGTTTAGTTGAAATTTGGTTCATCATTTAATTCAGTTCAAACATCTAAATTAACTCGTTTTGTTCTGATCTGATAGTGTGAGTGCTGTCAAATTGATAATGTTAATGAATATTAATTGTTTTAAACCCCCGAAAAAGACCATCTAATGAATCTCAATTCAGTTAAAATTTAGTTTGTAACTCAATTCAGTTCAAAGATCTAAAAAAAATCTCAATTTTGTTTTGATCTGATAGTGTGAGTGCTGTCAAATTGCCAATATTAATGAATATTAATTGTTTTAAACCCCCGAAAAAGACCATCTAATGAATCTCAATTCAGTTAAAATTTAGTTTGTAACTCAATTCAGTTCAAATATCTAGTGAAACTCAGTTTTGTATTAATCTGATAGTGTTAGTGAAGTTTAATTGGTAAATAATAAATATGAACTGATGTTTCATGGCAAAAAAGACCATCTAATGAAACTCAATTAATTCCAAATTTTGTTCTTCACTCAATTCAGTTCAAACATCTAAATGAACTCGTTTTGTTCTGATCTGAAAGTGTGAGTGCCGTCAAATTGCGATAATATTACTCAATAGTCAAATTCTTTTAAACCAAAAAAACCCAATCTAAATGAATCTCAATTCAGTTCAAATTTAGTTTGTATACTCAATTCAGTTCAAAACATCTAAAGAAACTCAATTTTTGTTCTTATCCGATAGTGTTAGTGCAGTTTAATTGGTAAATAATAAATATGAACTGA